CCACCATCCCCTTCGCCACAGCCTTGGGACTGCCTGGGGAGCAGTCGGGCAGTAAGGGAGCTGGGGCTGTTGATGGTAGGGAGGCTGGGGACTGGCTTTACCTTGGGGAGGAGACTGTGGCCGCCTTGATCGAACTCCAGGGCTGTCAGTGTGGCTGGGAGGAGTCAGCCAGGGGGCTCAAGAACTGGGGACTGCAGTCAGGCCTCCAGAATAGCCTTGGCCTGTACCTGAAGGTCCCTGACAGTGTGTGTGTGGGGGAAGATGGGGTGGAGTCTTAGGGGGAAGGAAGAAGGAATCAAAGAGGAAGTGGGGGGAGGGAGGTAGAGGAGGCAAGGTCTGGCGCCATGCTGAGTCACCGCCCACAAGGCCCAGGGCGGGCCCTCTGGGACCATGGAGCAGGGTGGTGGGGTCCTAGGAAACCATGGGGAGGGCTGGGGGGCTCTTGAAACAGGAATCTGGAGAAGGCGCGGGCGGCCTGAAGAATACACGCAGATGGACAGACAGACAGTGCAGTCACCCATAAAGTAGAAAGCACTACTAACAGCACTGGAGGGTGTAGTGTTTCCTACTTTATGGATGAGTGTACTGTGGGCTTCGGAGACCACGACACCGCCCGCCACCACCTGCCACTGTCCTCCTCGATGTTGAAGACTACGTGTGATGGGTGAGCATCTCAGGGGTCCTCTCCACCCCTCCCAGGCCCCCAATGACCTCCACTGCTCCCCATAGCACTGTCCTTGCTGGTTCCCGCCAACCAAGGACACACCACACCAGCTTCTTTGCTGCCCTGAAGTCTGGAACGGGGTGTGGGGAGGACTGGGCCATGTGGATCCTTCATGCAACTGTGGAGAGGACCAGAATGGGGGCCTAGCCACAAGCAGACCATTGCTGGGACCAGGAAGAGGCTGGAGGGGAGGGTTGATGGATGGATAGTAATGAGTGGTGATGCCAGTGCCCCCACATTAATAAAGAATGGATTCCGTTTCTCTTTTGTCTGAGATTTTGTTGCTGGGGCCTGGGGTGCTGAGTGAGGGTAGCAGGCACATGGATGGGATGGGGGCACAGAAAGGCTGGCAGGGAGAATCACTCTCACTTTCCCCAGGAAATGAGCTTGGCCCTGCCTACAAGACGGGAGGATCTCTGGTGGCGCAGTGGTTGAAGCATATGGCTACTGACCAAAAGGTCAGTGGTTCAAACCCACCAGCCATTCCATGGGAGAAAAATGAAGCAGTTTACTTCCATAAAGATTCACAGCCAACCTTAGAAACCTATGAAACAGTTCTATTCTGTCCCATAGGGTCACTATGAGTCAGAACTGACTCCATGGCAGGGGGTTTGGTTTGATGTATGAGACCAGAAAGGTCCCTGGGTTGTACAAATGGTTGGTGCTTTGAACCCACCTAGCAGTGGTCAATCTGCTTCTGTAAAGATTACATCCAAGAAAGCCCTACCGAGCAGTTCTACTCTGTAAAACATGGGGTTGCCATGAGTTGGAATCGACTCAAAGGCATTTTTTTTTTTTTTTTTAATGAGACTAGAAGAGGCCCTGGGCCACAGCTAGAGGAAGAAGGGGCCTGTGCTGCTGGGGAGAGGACCTCCTGGCCCATCAGGAAAGGGTACAGGACCTGGAGGAGTTATGAGGGGCTCTCCTACCTTTCACCGTAGCACTGGCCCTGCTCTCTTCTCCATTTGCTCTACAAAACCACCAAAACAGAAAGTCATGTACTTTCAGTTTTAATCTAAGAAAGTCTAGGGGTCCTTGGTCGTATAAGATTTGGGCACAAATATACCATAGCACTTACGCAAAGCATCTCATACATAGATAAGGGCACAGATACTAATATACAAAGTATACACACACACACACACACACACACACCCCTCCCCCAGGACACATGTGCTTTTTACATATAGAGGTCCCATAGATGTATGCTATTTGAACACATATAGTTATATATGGGAGCTCTGGTAGCATAGTGCCTAAGGCGCTCGACTGCTAACCAGAAGGCTGGCGGTTCAAACCC